TGCTTTGCCCTCTCTCAGAGGACACACCATCTGAGGATATGATAAAAATGAAGAAAAGTGGCAAATAAGTATTTGTAAGATTCTTGAAAATGTAATCTTTCACCAAAACTTTGGACCCCAGAATGATTTTATGCCATTTGGTGGCGTTGCTTAAAGAATTGTTTGATACCCTTTTGATTTTTGGATACTTCGTTTAACTCTCTAGGTTTGCCAAGATGTTGTATTTACTTGTTGCTTGTGGGTCCTCTTGCCTAATTCAGTACCTCAAAAATACCATTATCATCAATCTACCATAATTCCACATTTTTATGTAAAAAATGGATTTACATACTTTCCTTTTATTGTTTGGGTATTTATGAGTTTGTTTGTGGGCATTTCAAAATTAAGTTTTCTTTAATTTGGTTAAGGATATGTTATTTGTCTAAAAAGAGGGAAATTTACGGAAAGATTATTTTTTTATTGATGTCCTTATAAAATCAAATCTTAAAAAACGATTTACATCTTTTTAAATACAAAATTTTTTAATTTACAACTTTAAAACATAAATTAAGAATATATTTGTTATATTTTTTTATTATTAATTTATAAAAAAAATAAAAATTAATTTTAATTTTATCAATTATTTAATTAAAATATTTGATGTGATATTAATATTAAAAATAAAATTTATTTTTATAATTTTTTATATAAATTAATATTAAAAAAAGTAATAAATAAACTTTTAATTTATATTTTAAAAGAAAAATTCTTTTAAATAATAGATTTTCATCAATCTTTTCTTCTTCTTCTTCTTCATCGGAAAGCTACATGCAGTTGGTGCGGTGTCAAATGCAAAACCACTCTTTATTTTATTTTATTATTTTTTATCTTTCTGCATGTTCAAAAAAAAAAATTATTTTTTATCTTTCTAATAGAAAATTCCACTTCACATTTACCAAGTACACGAAGAATTTCTCAAAAAGATACAATGAAGTTTTGTACACAAGGATATCTTAATTCAAATCTAGGCCATTAAGAAAAATATTTTTCTTTTAAATTTTAGATTATCAAATTAATAAAAATAATATAATTATAATATCAGATAATATTATAAATTTATAATTTTAAAATATTATAATTAAATATTTTCATTTAAAAAATTATTTATAATATTATATATATTTATTTATTTATTTGATATATTATAATTATAAAAATATAATCTTATATAATATCATAAGTCTACATTGCTGATAAGCGATTACTACCTTCTATTCTTCAATTGGTTTCCCCTACTGCTTACCAGTAACTCTTACTTTTTAGTTACTCAAAGAAGAAGGGGTTTGGTTAGCAGAAAACTCTCTCTCTCTAACTTTTTCCCTCTTTTGAATTTTTTAGAGTTATTTATGTATTTTTATAATTTAATATTACTTAATGCCTCAAATTTTGCATTGAGATAAAACTATGAATATAATTGATATGTAAATTTACAGATTAACTATTCTTAAAAACTTGAATTTAAGTTTTGAGAGTTTTTAAATCTTAATTTAAGGAACTATTAGGTTAGTAGTGGATTTTGATTTGAACTGTTTCATTTGATATCAAAGTTATGTTATGATTACAATAAAATTTAAGTTTTTGACAGTGTTTAAATCTTAATTTAAGGAGTTATTAGATTAGTAGTGGTTTTTAATTTGAATTGTTTTATTTGATATAAGAGTTAAGTTATGATTACAATAAAAAAATGGTAAAAGTAATATTTTTAACTTTTATTTTTTAACACAATTTTAAATTGTTAAACTTTTTTTCTACA